TTCAGACTATATTTTGAATGGGACTCTTCCTTTTCATTACAACTACATTAAGAATTAAGATCCTTGGCTGGACGCGGTGGCTCACACCTGTAATCCTAGCACTCTGGGAGGCCGAGGCAGGCGGATTGCTGAAGGTCAGGAGCTTGAGACCAGCCTGAGCAAGAGTGAGACCCCGTCTCTACTAAAAATAGAAAGAGATTAATTGGCCAACTAAAAAAATATAGAGAAAAATTAGCCGGGCATGGTGGCGCATGCCTGTAGTCCCAGCTGCTCAGGAGGCTGAGGCAGAAGGATTGCTTGAGCCCAGGAGTTTGAGGTTGCTGTGAGCTAGGCTGATGCCACTGTATTCTAGCCCAATCACTCTAGCCCAGGCAACAGAGCCAAACTCTGTCTGAAAAAAAAAAACAAAAAAAAAACCTACATTAAGAATTAAGATCCTTATCCAAGCAGGAAGTATTTGAGATTGTGCAAAAAAAAAAGAAAAAAAAAAAAAGAGAAAAGAAAAATATAAAATTAAAAAGAAAAAAAAGAATTAAGATCCTTCCCTCACAGTCATTCTGTTACATATATAAGAATGTGGTCATATGTGCCAATACATATGCATGGAAACATACAGACTGGCTTGCTTAAGCACACACAGTTGACAACTAGTCAGTCAAGAAAGCATATTAATTAGGTGAGACAAAGAGTTTAGCCCAGTGTTTGAGAGAGTTGCTGAATAGCTGGAGGGAAGGCAAAGAGGCTGAGACAAAATAACAGCACACAGTTGCATAGAGCTTGCTATTGACCAGGCCTGCTCTTTTTTTTTTTTTTTTAGATAGAGTCTTGATGTGCCACCCTGGATAGAGTGGAGTGGTGTCATGATAGCTCACAGTAACCTCAAACTCCTGGGCTCAAGCGATCCTTCTGCTTCAGCCTCCAGAGCAGCTGGGGCTCTAAGCGTGCACCACCAGGCCCTGCTAATTTTTCCTATTTTTACTAGAGATGAGGTCACTCTGGCTCAGGCTGGTCTTCAACTCCTGACCTCAAGAGACCCTCCCACCTTGGCCTCCCAGAGTGCTAGGATTACAGGCATGAGCCACCGTGCCCTGCCCAGAATAAGCTTCTAAACACACAAGTTTGAAGGTGTCACTCCTGTCATGTCTCTCTCTCTCTCTCTCTCTCTATATATATATATATATTCTTCTGCCTGATTTATTTCTGCCTCCCCTAAGAATCCTCCCCTCCTTTCTCGCCTCGACACCGTAGGTTCAGCCTGGCCTAGTCCAGGAATCGGGGGGAGCCCAGCTTGGTACGATTGCACAGCCCCTTTTCTATCGCAGGTCAGGTCTGGCATTTCGGTATCGTGGATGAGTAAATGGAGCAAGCATTTTCCTCTAGCCCCCACTGTGCACACCCAGGCTATCTGACTGAGCATCTGAACCAGTTCGTGGTTGCCATGCCAATTCTCTATGGATACTACAGCTTGCTTTGAAATCCCAACTCAGCTGCCTGGGGCCTTGACTACTCTCCTAGCTCAGCCGGCCCCCTCATCCAGGAGCTGCCTCTGTCCCTTTGCCCCCAGCTTCTGGCATCTCTGCACACAGACACCTAAAAAACAAGAGATGTCCCTAAATGCACCAGTATCACAAGAGACAGTGTGCAAGAACCTCCTGCTATGGGGCCTTTTCCACCCTCAGATCAGACCCCTTGAATATTGACCCTTAAATGGATTTTGCTCAAGTTTGCAACACCTCTTGGACTTTGCTGTTTGGACTGCTGTCCACTCCCCGGGAAGCAAACTCTGTTACTGCCAAGTTCTTTCCACCGGCTTCAGCCTCGCTGAACCAGCCTCACTCCTTTCAGACTCATTAAGAGTTCCAGCATGCCTCAAGGCTATGGTCTCAGTGCTTATGATACTATCTTACCTTTCTTTACAGCTCATAATCCACTTTTGAGCACATCTTGTAGGAGTCTCACAAAAGCTCTGTGAAAGAGGTAGAGAGGTTGTCATTAACCCTATCTTAGAGATGAGGAAACTGAGACGGAGAGAGTGTCAATATCATGTGTCCAGGGGACAAAGGTAATCAATAGAAAACTAGGTCTCCTCATTCCGATGCCCTCTTCACTATCCCGGTTGCTCGGAAATTTGGGTGGCTACTATGTGACAGATACTAAGTCCCACTTGCCTCAGTGTCTTTCCCTTATACTCTTGTGACACAGCCTCAAATTGAAAAAAAAAGTCAGCCCTGGGGTCCCCCTGACTCAGCCCCCCACCCAATTCCCCTGAGACACTGTGTCTACCAGCTCCCCTTGAGGGTTCCCGGGCCTGTTCCTACCTGGTTAACTGGACACGAGTCACACGCCCCCCTTGGGCTATAACAACCAGCCTGATGGCTTTCTTGTCCCACCACTGCCCCCTGGAGAGGAAAGCCTTGATCTGGAGTTGGAGCCTCTTTCCAAGGGGTATTGGTAGAATATTTTGAAGAGAAACTAAATTTCTTAGGTGATGATGGGGTTAGTATTTCTCAACATGGGGAGAGCATGAAGTTCCTTCATGGACCAGGATGGAATTTTTAAAAGAAAACATTTATTTTGATGGCCTTTTGGACGGGCAGGGGATGCTATGTGTTTGTTATATTGTTGTGGGTGAAAGGGGTGGATTTCAATATAAAGGAATCTCTCCCACCATGACGGTGGTGGGGGGGTGGACCTCTCCTCTGATAGATTATTTTTCTTTTTTTCTGAGGCAGAGTCTCACTCTGCCACCCTGGCTAGGGTGCCGTGGCATCAGCCTAGCTCACAGCAACCTCAAACTCCTGGACTCAAGCGATCCTCCTGCTTCCCGAGTGGCTGGGACTACAGGCATGCATGACCAAGCCCGGCTAATTTTTTCTATATATTTTTAGTTGGCCAATTCATTTCTTTTCTATTTTTTAGTAGAAACGGGGTCTCACCCTTGCTCAGGGCTGGTTTCGAACTCTTGACCTTGAGCGATCCTCCTGCCTCGGCCTCCCAAAGTGCTAGGATTACAGGCGTGAGCCAACACGCCCGGCTTCCTCTGACAAGAGTATGATGCTAGCTTCAAAGGGGAGAGGAAATTTCTTCAAGGGAAGGAATGCTTCTCTTTTAAGAGAGGGGAAGCTCTCTCTCGGGAGTTGCTAAGTGTGGTGAAAAGGAATACTTACTCTTCCTTTTCTTTTCTAACGAAGAAATCTCCTTGAATGAGGAAACCTTCCCTGCCTTCTCTGTGAAGGGGAACAACTGTTTCAGGGGAGACCAATTCTGATAAGATTATGGCTGATTTTCTCCTCCTTCCTGATATGCAGCACTTCCCACATGGAGTCTGCGTACTCTGAGAGGGAGCGCCGAGTAATTTCTCCTGCTAGAAGGTGAGGAAGCTGATGAGGGACACTTGCCATGGGGGGAACTTTTCCTCTGAGGGGCTGTTGGTGAGGGCGGTGACTCTGAGAGGAGGAAACGCCTGTGAGGCTGGGGAAGCCTTTCAGGAATCCCAGGAGCACAGAGTGCTGACGGGAGCTAGGCTCACCCCTGTAATCCTAGCACTCTGGGAGGCTGAGGTGGGGCGATCCTCAAGGTCAGGAGTTTGAAACCAGCTGAGCAAGAGCGAGACCCCGTCTCTACTATAAATAGAAAGAAAATTAATTGGACCTAATATATATAGAAAAAATTACCGGGCATGGTGGGCATGCCTGTAGTCCCAGCTACTCGGGAGGCTGAGGCAGGAGGATGGCTTGAGCCCAGGAGTTTGAGGTTGCTGTGAGCTAGCTGACGCCACGGCACTCACTCTAGCCTGAGCAACAAAATGAGACTCTGCCTCAAAAAAATTAAAAATAAATAAATAAAAATATAGAGATGGGCCAGGCCAGCCTTTGTTTGTTCACAGGGAAACCGAGGCTCAGAGAAGGAAAAGATTTGGTAATAAGTGACAGAACCAGAATGTGAGCCCAGCCTTTTAAGGTCCCAGCCCAGGATTTTCCCACCACAGCTGACAGGGGATGGTGATGCTGGCGAGGAAACTGCTGCTGGGACATGTGTGACCCGTGGTGCAGGCATCTCTAGGGCGGGGGACATTGGTTCCCGAGAGAAGGACACTGGGAAGGAGGATGGAATTTGAGGGTATGTCCAGAGGAAAGGGTGATGGCTTTGAGTCACTGTGCGACCCCATGGTTGGATTGTGGGGCATCAGTTTGGAGGGAACATCAAGTTTCAAGGGAATAAGGGAACAAGTCTCCCAGGAGCGCGGGGGACGGCTCTTGCCAAGGTACCCAGGGAATGTGTGCCACACTCCAGGATGTGAGAAATTTCTCTACCATTCCCTGTCTCTCCAGAAGGAGTTATCATTTTAATCTCTTTAAAATCAGAGGAGGCCAGGCGCAGTGGCTCACGCCTGTAATCCTAGCACTCTGGGAGGCTGAGGTGGGCAGATCACTCAAGGTCAGGAGTTTGAAACCAGCCTGAGCAAGAGCCAGACCCCTGTCTCTACTATAAATAGAAAAAAATTAATTGGACAACTAATATATATAGAAAAAATTAGCCAGGCATGGTGGTGCATGCCTGTAGTCCCAGCTACTCGGGAGGCTGAGGCAGGAGGATCGCTTGAGCCCAGGAGTTTGAGGTTGCTGTGAGCTAGGCTGACGCCACGGCACTCACTCTAGCCTGGGCAACAAAGCGAGACTCTGTCTCAAAAAAAAATATAAATAAATAAAATAAAATCAGAGGAAGGGGTTATGTGAATTAGATCCAATAAAGCTGTTATTAGAAAATGAAAAAAGAAACAAAACAAAACCAAGAAGCACAACCAAAAACCAGGAAAGAATGGCTCGGGGCCCGGCTTTGCGGGCCGAGCGCACTGGTTCCTCATTTGCAGCTGCAGCTACCCAAGTCACTATTTCTCTTGCCCCATTCCTTTCTCAATCAGCAAAAAGCCAAGGCCAGCTCATCCACGGGGAGGTCAGAGGTTGCAGGAGAAAGAACTTGACAAACACACAAGCCACCTCTTCATTTACTGTAAAATCCTGTTTAATGTGTAACATTTCAGGCAGAGCGAGGCCTTGGGGACTGGAGGCAGAGGCAGCCCCGACCAACCCCCACTCCAACTTATCTGCCTGCTTCGCCCTCCCTAAGTCCCTCACCCCACAGTCGTCCTCCTTCTCCTTGTGGCCGGCAAGGCAAGGCTGTTTCTCCTTTTCTTGCCACCCTCCCTCCTCCACCCGCACGGCCACAGCACCGCCACTCCACTTGCCCACGTCCTTCCCCACTGGTGCGACTGCAGACATAGGGCACCTGACAGCACGGGGTTAAGATTAGTTTCATAATTGGAGATGCTGTCAGAGCATCCCACCTCTCGTCCCCAGTGGCCCCAGGGAGGGGGAGAGGGAAGAGGAAGGGGTACAGGCGACAAGAGCTGCCCACACCCTTGATGACCTTGAGCACTGGCTTCGGTGGCCTCCAGCTCCCTCCTCAGCCAGAAGGCCCTGGGAGGAAGGGAAGCAGGGAGGGAGGGAAGGTTTGGGCCGAGTCATCCCTGGCCGGCAGAGGCCTGTGCACCAGCAGGGGAGAAGGAGGGGTTCTGGGGCAGGGGCAGGGGCAGGGCTGGGATGGACGTTGCCTGGCAGGTGGCATCAGCAGGCCGAGCAGCGGTCGCTCTTCTCAGCCAGCCCGGCCCCGGAGCCGGGGCTGCGGCGCAGTATGTCCTTCAGGGAGCCATCCTGCTCGCTCAGCAGCTTGTTGATCTCGTTTTGCTTGTACTCGGGCGACAGGCGGTGGCCGAAGCCGGAGCCCTTGCGGGAGGGCGGATTGGAGCGGCGCTGGGCCCGGCGGGCGCAGGCGCGGATGATGAGGTACACCACCTCGGCCACGTTGAGGATGATGCAGATGCCCGAGGCGGCCAGCATGAAGACGGTGAAGACGGTTTTCTCGGTCGGGCGCGACACGAAGCAGTCCACCGTGTTGGGGCAGGGGTAGGCCTCGCACTTGACCAGCCGCACCATGGCGTAGCCGGGGTAGAGCAGATAAAAGACATACATGAAGACGGCCTCAAAGAGCAGCCGGAACACCACGCTGATGACATACGTCCACCACAGTGTCCCTGAGATGTGGACCTTGTGCCTCTTCACCTCCTCCAGGTGCAGCGGGTCCCCGTGGCCCTCAAGCCGCAGCATTTTCTTCTCGATGTGCTGCTGGTGCGCCACGTGCATGGCCACGAGGAGAGCTGGGGTAGAAACTAGGATGAGCTGCAGGGACCACAGACGCACGTGGGAAATGGGGAAGAAGTGGTCATAGCACACGCTGTTGCAGCCGGGCTGGAGGGTGTTGCAGATGAAGGACGATTTCTCGTCACCCCACACGCTCTCTGCAGCCACCACCAACACCATGATCCTGAAGATGAAGATGACCGACAGCCATACGCGGCCAATGGCAGTGGAATGCCGGTTCACGCCACTGAGCAAGGTGTACAAACCTGTCCAGTTCATCCTGCCTCATTCACACCTGCAAGACACGAGCCACCAAGGAAGCCATCAGAAAGCTGCCGCAGGAAGCCGGGCACCATAGCACTGCCCGCTCCAGCCCCCACCTCTTGCAAGAGCCAGTGGCAGGAAAGGAAGGACAGTCACAGCTCTCCTGCTCGCCCCATCTCCCTCGCCAGCCTCTCCTCCTCCTCACTCCCTTGACTTGACCTCCTCGAGCCCCATCCCCCTTCTTCGCTTTCATTCAACATTCTTTCCTCTCCAGTCCCTTTCTTTGGCAAGCCCATCTTGTCCTGCTGTCACCAGCCCCTCTGGCTGCCCACCCCCTAGCTGCTCGACACTCGACCCGGGACAACCCGACAGAGCCCTGTTACCTTGGGGAGCGCCTATCCCTGAGGCCACCCAGACAGGTCCCCTATGGTCTCATGTCTGCGCAGAGGGAGTGGTCCCTGGGTCCGCGCCTGCGTCCCAATTCATCGCCGCCCGGTGCTGGGGAGTCATATGCTGCTTTATACCCAGTGTCCGCACAATGGGACCTTTGTGGGGCTCTGAACAACGCCCTTTAGAATTCAGATCAAACGCCCTGACTTCCGCCCACCCTACACACAGAGCACTTGTGTCCCAGCGCCGGACACCCAGCCTGCACCCACCTGTTCTGTGCCCGCCCGGTCCATCGCCGCACCCGCCACATAGCCCCACCAGAAGAATGGCTACGGGGGAGGGAGATGAAACACAGGCAGGTGCATGTAAGAGGGGACCCCAGGGGACCAGGAGGCTCTGGACTGAGGTCCTCCCCCATAGCCCAATCAGAAACTTAGGGTCAGCAGGATTTTTCCCAGGCTTCGATCCCCTCCAGGGCTTGGGAGAGCTAGAGGGGAGGAAAGGGAGGTCCTATTTATCAAGCCAGGCACTGTGCTAAGCATTTTCCCATACATTCTTTCTTTTGACCCATTTAGCAAGTCTGCCACCCCATTTTCCAGATGAGGAAGCTGAAGCTCGGATAAGTAACTCACTCCGGGTCCCACAGCTACAAAGTGGCAGGGTGGGATGAAATGCAAAAGCATCTGAAGCAGAAGTCTAGGCTCCCTCCACAGCACACTCCTTGTGTTTTTGCAGATAGTGTCAGCAAAAAGCAAAGGCTAGCCATTCAAAAAGAAGAAGAAGAAGAAAAAAGCAAAGGCTGATGTTACTCATAAAAGCACACGAAGCATGGAAGCTGTTGACCTGTGAGCACATCCCAACTCCAGTGTTATGGAGCAAACCCTGACCGACCCTCTTTGAGTTTCAGCAAGCCAGGAGGAGAAAGCAAAAGGTCACAGGCAGACAGAAGGTTAGAGACGGAAGAGGTAAGAGTCACATAGCTTTGGGTTTGAAGCCTGCTTTTTCACCTAATACTACCTTGGGCTAGTTACTGAACGTCTCTGAGCTTGCTTGCTCATCTATAAATAAGGCAAATACCCAATTATCATGAAATTCAATAAGGCAACCTGCAGAAGTTCTTAGCCCAGCTCCGGTTTCATAGTTGGTGATCAGGGGGATTAAGAACCTTCTCGGGAAGAGAAAATGTGTCGCTTTAGGGCACTGAATGGTCTGCTAAAGCCAAGATCTCTCTTTTTTTTCCTCCCCAATGCTGTTGTTGACCTATAGTGTCTGTCTGAGATAGAACAGACAGCGCCATTGCTGCCTGCCCTCAACTTCAAGTGCCTCCTGCTTTCACAAGCTTGTCAGTTGCTCTAGGGAAGAAATTCTCCTCTGTCCCTTAGGCAGGCAAAGAAGGCCTCTCCCCACCTTCCACCACTTCTGCCATTAAGCTGCAGGGAGATCATGCTAGAAGCAGGGAACTGGACGTGAGGAGAACATGCAGCCCTGGACCGCAAGAAACGCAGTGGTCCCTGGGGTCATTTCCTGACCCCGGGCACGCTCCAGCAGGGCCAGTTGTTGTGGAAAGAGTCCCATATTCAGTTCTGAGTGGCCCTCTCTGTCGTAGAGGGAAGGGGTAGGGTTAACAGCAACTGAAAAAATGGCAGAATGTGGTGAAAGAAACTGGGGGAAGAAGGGACAGTCCACAGGTTACTCCTCTAAAAAAGGTTTCTTCATTTAGCTAAAAAGGAAAAACAGCCTTGGTGAATTCATGTGTGTGCCTAAACCAGCCTGGGGAAACAGCACCATGTCCTTTCTCCCAAGCCTGGGATTCTTTTTTCTTTTCTTTCTTTCTTTCTTTTTTTTTTTTTTTTGAGACAGAGTCTCCCTCTGTTGCCTAGGCTACAGTACAGTGGCGTCAGCCTAGCTCACAGCAACCTCAAACTCCTGGCTCAAGCGATCCTTCTGCCTCAGCCATGAGAGTCCAGCTAATTTTTTCTATTTTTAGTAGAGACGGAGTCTTGCTCTTGCTCAGGCTGGTCTCGAACTCCTGAGCTGAAGCGATCCTCCAGCCTCGGCCTCCCAGAGTGCTAGGATTATAGGAGTGAGCCACCACGCACAGGCCCCAAGCCTGAGATTCTAAAGGCAAAACTGCTGCAATACACACCACAGACAGCCATAAGGAAATGCTTGGAGGCCGGGCACAGTGGTTCCCGCCTGTCATCCTAGCACTCTGGGAGGCCAAGGCGGGAAGATGGCTCAAGGTCAGCAGTTCGAAACCAGCCTGAGCAAGAGCGAGACCCCATCTCTACTAAAAATAGAAAGAAATTAATTGGCCAACTAAAAATATATAGAAAAAATTAGCCGGGCATGGTGGCTCATGCCTGTAGTCCCAGCTACTCGGGAGGCTGAGGCAGGAGGATCGCTTGAGCCCAGGAGTTTGAGGTTGCTGTGAGCTAGGTTGACGCCACGGCACGCTAGCCCGGGCAACAGAGCGAGACTCTGTCTGAAAAAAAAAAAAAGAAAAAGAGAAAGAAAAGAAAAATGCTTGGCCCGTGAAATGTGAAATGCGTTACCCTCTGAAACAGGGCGGCTCAGAGAATGATTAAGTGCCAGGCCCGCGCGCGCACACTCGCTCATGTCACCCTCAGAACAACTCCTTGACGTAGGTGTTGTTTTTGTCCTCATGTCATAGATGAGGAAACTGAGGCAAAGAAAGGCGAGGGGACTTACCCAAGCGTCTCGCAGTGACAAGCTGGGATCTGCGCCAGGTCAGGCTGACTCCAGAGCCCATACTCCTTCCTATAAGCTCCACTGCCTTGGACAGAATAATAACTTTTTTCCCATGGGTATTTTTTAGGAACAGGGAGATGCAAAACTGATGTGACTTAGTTTCCTTTAGCCCTTTCTCCCCTTTCCTATCAATTGACAACTCCTTTCCTCGCCTTCCTCCCAGGCTTTTTCCACCGCCTCCTGGTTTGGTCTGTTTATCCTTTCCTTTCTTTCTTGGGCTGCTCCCTCAAACTCCAAAGCAAGGCCGGGCGCGGTGGCTCACGCCTGTAATCCTAGCACTCTGGGAGGCCGAGGCAGGAGGATTGCTCAAGGTCAGGAGTTCGAAACCAGCCTGAGCAAGAGCAAGACCCCGTCTCTACTAGAAAGAAATTAATTGGACAACTAAAAATATATAGAAAAAATTAGCCGGGCATGGTGGCACATGCCTGTAGTGCCAGCTACTCGGGAGGCTGAGGCAGAAGGATCGCTTGAGCCCAGGATATTGAGGTTGCTGTGAGCTAGGCTGATGCCACGGCACTCTAGCCCGGGCAACAGAGTGAGACTCTGATTTAAAAAAATCAAAAAACTTCAAAGCAAACCTTAGCTGTTCTCTTCTGTCTGCCTCTCAGGGGTGCACCACAGACATTCTGCCACCCCTGAGTCTCTCAGTTCTTGTAGCTCCCCACCTCTTACCTTCCTGAGCCTTCTGGGATGGAGCCAATAGCTCCCTCTGGGGCCTCTAAGGACCCTTGTGTGGACGCTGGGATCTGAATTTTTGCTTTCCCCTTTGGAAGGAGAACTGATCCCTGTGTCAACATCAATACCTCAAGGGTTTCATTTAAAAAACATCCAGGGGAATGACCTGATTTTGAAATCCAAATTGTTTTTGCAACTTTAGGTTAAAGTCCAGGTATCGATAGGCGCTGTGTTGCTTCAGGCGTGTTGGGCTCTTGTGTTTAATTAGACAAGGTTTCTCTGGCCTTGTCAGGCTTTGGCCCTTTCCTCAGATTCAGGTTTTCCCCAGCACGCAAGCACAGTACAGAATCAGGTGATCTCACGTAGTCCTTACGACAGTCCTGTCATATTATCCCCATTTTCCAGACAAGTTGAGGCTCAGAGAAGTTAAGTAACTTGCCTCAACAGCTGCTGCTGAGTGGTGGATCAAGTTTCAAATTTATTTTCCTCTGACCTTAAGGCCTTTGTACGTAGCACTGTTTTTGGCAGCCTCTCTTCTTGTGAGGACTTTGCATTCTAAACGAGACCAGGCCTACTACTCAAAACCCTGCCCTCATCCCTGTGCGTGTGCGCGCGCACGGTCATCAGGCCTGTCTCTCTCTGCCTCCGCACTCTCCCTGCCCTTTCTCCAACTACAGGAAAATCCTCGTTTTTTGTGGGGGCTTTGGGGACAAGGGCCTGGCTGGGCTGGATGAGGTTACATTGAGCCTCAGACTCCATGTTCCCTCCCCCATTTCACAGGAAACCTCTGGTCAAGAAGGGACATGGGGCTTTCTTTGAGATTTTCTTCTGAATTTATTTATTTGAGACAGAGTCTCACTTTGTTGCCTGGGCTAGAGTGCCGTGGTGTCAGCCTAGCCCACAGCAACCTCAAACTCCTGGGCTCAAGCGATCCTCCTGCCTCAGCCTCCCGAGAAGCTGGGACTACAGGCATGCGCCACCATGCCCGGCTAATTTTTTTTCTATATATTTTTAGTTGTCCAATTAATTTGTTTCTATTTTTAGTAGAGATGGGGTCTCGCTCTTGCTCAGACTGATTTTGAACTCCTGACCTTCAGCAATCCACCCGCCTCGGCCTCTCATAGTGCTAGGATTACAGGCATGAGCCACCTCACCCGGCCAGATTTTCTTCTGAATTTCTGGCTACCTTCATCAGTTTGGTGTGGCTAAGGCCAAACTCCTCTGGCCCTCTTCCTCCTCCCCTGCTTCTCTACCCTGCCTCCCCCCTGCGGTTCTATCAAGACGGGGTCTCAATGTGTCGCCCAGGCTGGCCTCGAACTCCTGGGCTCAAGCGATTCTCCCACCTCAGACTCACTGCTGTGGTCTTTTCATAGAACTGTTGATGCCAGCTCCCTTACCCATCGTTTGGACTATACTCCCCATACTCCTCCATTGCCCATCTGACTTCCTGTTGCTCTTTACTGGGGCTTACTATAATGGTCACCATTTATGAAATGCCTACTATGTTCTAGGAGCATGAACTCTCATGTTTGCAATGACCGAGTGAGCCACGAGCTGTTATCTTCAATTCACAAATGAAGCTATGGAGGCTCAAAGAAGCTGAGTAACTTATTACACAGCTGTTAGGTAAGTGCTGGAGCTCAGATTAGGCATCATTTTGGCCCCTCACCCAAGCCTGGGGCCCTTCTCCATTGCCATGCTACGTCCTTATCTACACTCCTCTCCCTTAAAACCCTTCTTGTCTATACTCTCCTCTCCGTATCTCATTTTCTAAGTCCACAGGTTCTTCTGTGCCATTCCCAACAGCTGGAACAACTTTCAGACAGCTGGAGGACCACTCATCCTTTAGACCTCTAATCCATCAGCCACCCCAAGCTCAGCTTGAGTCTGCCTGCCTTCCTCAAGAAAATGGAAACGCGTGCTGCCTGTCCTCAGCCCCGTCGGCTGGGCCTCTGCAGCCGGCTCGCACTGTATTCGCCCCCCAAAGTCCCGCGTTGGGTGCACGCCTGGTTTGCCTTGTAATCAGGAAAGGAAAACAGTACTGGGCTGCGCCCCACCATCCCACCAAACCCTAACCCTGTGTGGCAGGACATGTCTCGGAGAGACCAAGTTGGTCACTTTTGCACCTGCGGGGTCCCTCAAGTCTACCTGGGGACCTGGCCCTATGGGGATGAGGGGTATCCTCGGCTGCAGAAGAAAGAGCTAGAGGAGGTGCCACTTTGAGCCTGGGGAGAGGACAAGAGTTGGGGGCTGCAGAGAGAAGCTAAGCCAAGCCTGGTGCCCGGCAGCAGCGGCCTCGCCCCAGCTCCGAGGGAAGCATGGAAGGGACCTAAAGGGCCAAATGCTGAGGTCAAGAGGAGGCAAGACCCAGGCCTCTCCAGGCCCCCATTTCTGGCCCCCTGTGCCACATCAGCCCTCCCTGGCCCACCTCCCTCCGTCCCCAGTCTCCTCACCTCCCCGACACTGCCACACCTGGCTGCTGCTGCCCTTTCCCAGGGAACGTCTGCAGGCGTGTCTGCCCTATGCCACCAGGTACTGTCAGCCCAGCCCAGGGGAGGGACAACAAGCCCAGGGCCGGAGCCAGAAATGGCCCACAGCCCAAGAGGAACCAGACAAACATTAACCAGCTCCACCTCCTCCCACACGGAATCATTAAACAAGATTGGTCCCCTGAGCTCCCAATGGGTTTGGAGAGACAGGTCACATACCCTGGAGTCACTGCCCTGTCCCAGAGGGAGACAGGCATCATTGTCACCCACATGTCCGTGTTTAGTCTACCTGGGAAACTGCACTGGTCCTGGGCTTCCCATCATTCCTCAGCGTCCCCTCGTCCCCAGCCTGCTGCAGAGAGGGGTCCCGCACGGGGCGCCACCCTGGCCATCCCTTTAGCTCTCAGCCTCTCAACTATATGCCGATGGGGAGGAAAAGCCATGGGGATTCCTCCTGGCACCTGACGTCAAAGTGGGAGCTGGCGGTGCTTCCTACCCATATGGCAGTACCAAGGTGCCCTGTGGCCAGCTGCTTATCGCGCATGTCACGTGTGGCTGGGGACAGACCAGAGTATTTCCAATCCCATCCCAGGACACTAAAACCTTCTCAGAAATTGCCTTCTACCCTCGAGGCCAGCGCAGTTGAACTGCAAAGTGTATCATGTGCAGCCATGATTCTTGGAAATCATTAAGGTAAACAAAGAATGTCAACCATTAACTGAGCGATCATTCTGGTATCAAGATCTCCACCACCAAGGGCGTACCTGAAGACCCTACTAGTTCTGTGGCCTGAGTGGCAGCACAGAAATCAGACACCGGTCCCCTGCCTTCTGCTCTTCACCTCGGCTCGAGCTCACTGCCAGAACCAGAGCCAGGGCCTCAGTTTCCCTGGCCCAGCCTGGGCATGTGGATATGTCGTGTTGCTACTGGACACCTGCTAGGAAGCCGGGACAGGGCTACATGCGGGGGTAGGTGACAGAGGAGGAGAAAACATCCCAACTGTTCTTAAGGGATTTATCAACTTCCTGAGGAGCAAAGACCAAGACTCAAGAAATTGCCACGAATAATAATACCAGTTCAATTACGTGGTTCTACCTTGGACTGCTGAGGGAGTTCAAAGAAGGGGAAGATGAGAGTAAACTGAAGTAATCAGGGAAGGCTTCCTAGAGGAGGTGAGGTTTGAGTGGAGAAGTAAAGGATGGGGAGGAGATGGGAAAAGAAAAGGTAGGCCTAGCATTCCAGGCAGGAGAGGCCCCCAGCAGGAATGAGTCCTGCAAGGAGGCAGGACTGTGTTGGGTGGCTGTGAAAGAAACTGTCCGTCAGCTAACAGGCTCAGAGTATGGAGGACATTTAAAGCCAGATAGGGCACGCCACTGTGCTCTAGCCAGAGCGACACTGTCTCAAACATAAATACGTAAATAAATAAATAAATAAATAAATAAATAAAGCCGGCCAGAGAGGGAATTCCTCAGTGAGTGTCTGGTAAACTTGGCGTAAGGCAAAGCAGAGCTAGACTCCGTGGCGTGGCGGGAGGGCCAGGCTGAATGCCATTCTTTGGTATTTCGTGATTCCTGCCGCGAGTACAGGTTGGAGCACATAAAGACGACTAGCGTTTCTTGAGTACTTAATGCATGAAAGGCAATGTTCAAAGTGTTTTGCAAGTATCACTTTGTTTGATCCTCAAAATAACCCCGTAAAGCAGGAACTATTCATACGCCCGTGGTACAGGGGCACCAAGGCACACGGAGGCTCAGTGAGGTAACTGAGATCACCGGGCTAGTAAGTATGAATAACAAAGCTGGATTTGAACTCAGGTAATTGGGCTCCAGAACTTGTCCACTTCACCACTCCATCACAGTTGATGCGCTCCACAAGTCCCATTGAGAAACTGAGTAAGAAGTGGCCCCTGGCCCGGTGTGGTGGCTCACGCCTGTAATCCTGGCACTCTGGGAGGCTGAGGCGGGCGGATTGCTTCGAGGTCAGGAGTTTGAAACCAGCCTGAGAGAGACCCCATCTCTACTAAAAAAAAAAAAAAATCGAAATAAACTAATTGACCAACTAAAAATATATATACAAAAAACTAGCCGGGCATGGTGGCGCATGCCTGTAGTCCCAGCTACTTGGGAGGCTGAGGCAGGAGGATCGCTTGAGCCCAGGAGTCTGAGGTTGCTGTGAGCTAGGCTGACGCCACGGCACTCTAGCCTGGGCAACACAGTGAGACTCTGGCTCAAAAAAAAAAAAAAAAGAAGTGGTCCCTGACTCCAGAGGATTCTAAGCTAATCTGAGCGATGAGAAACTCACCTGAGTAACTGTAATGAGAACGTGTCTCCCAAATGCCATATGCAGATGCGAGGTGCTGGCAGGAGAACAGGGTAAGTTTCATGGAAGAGGCACAGTTGGCCGTGGGTCATAAAGGAGACGGAGGGGCCAAACATTCCTGGTGACAGGAAACTGTGACATGTGTTTAGCGAACGAACAGTAGGCAGACCTGTTTGACCAGAAGAGAGGGCTCCTATAGCAGAGCTCGGGGAAGGGAGACTACAGGTCAGTATCAGCGTGTACTCATTGTTCCTTGGAGTTCTGGCAGGATTTCTTTGGGGTGCTTGTAGTTCTGGGCTACGGGAAGTCTATTGG